ATGTATATACTTTTTTACTTTGACTCTATCTTTCTGACAATAGACAACCAAAGCTGCCTTGAAACGTTCACAATTCGACATTGCAATTCATGGTATTATTTTTGTATTAGATTGGAGCAGCAATTTTATCAAATTCTTAGACGATGATAATTTCCCTTAATGGTATTGCTCATATTTTTAATAATATGATAAAACGAACGTTCTCTAATGCCGACACTCATGAAAACATACTTCAGGAGAAAAAAGTGACAAGAAAGAAAGAGAATTATCAATTCACATGAATTGCATTGAACAGTGATGGCAGTCTTCTACTATAGTCCGAACAGTTAAAAGTTAGAGCTTTGAAATTTGCCTTCATCCACGCTCAAACTAGCCGTATCGATGGTCTTAAGCAGAACGTGCGCGTTCATGCTAACCATATGCCGTATTCAATCAAACAATGCAAACAATTGTGTTTTGAGGTTAAACGTGTAAATTTTCGACATCAATTGTCTTATCACATGATGTTATTTTGGTATTATCTTCTTGGTCTGGGTCAGTTTAAATCAAACTTCACAAGAAAGAAGTAAAAACATTAAAACAAGAAGCTATTGTACGATGGCTTAGTATATCTCAATTACTTGAAAGTATCCTTTGATTATATTCGATACTGATAAGAATTATTAATGAAACAAATATTCTTCAAATGTTACCACTGGTCGATGTTATCACTATTGCTAGTGTTTTCATACTCTTGGAAGTATGGAAAAATGTGATGAGACGAGTGCAACCAATTGTCGACTCATTCCTTTATTCTGTTGTCGCATCGTATTGATATCTAATCAAAAAAACTACTTGTTATTAAGGAAGAAGCAGTCAATAATGCAGCGAAAGATAAGAGAACAGATTGGCTAAGAGCTAATGAATGATTAATTGACATTTATATAATTTTCTGTAGCTATTTTCTTTTTCAATACACTTGCTTGAGAATTACTGAATATAATGTTCATTTGATGTACTTTGTTAGAAAACAAAATTGAAGTATTCAGAACTAAAAAGCGATGTTCACAAAATAATTTGGTCTACGTGCATTGGCTGGTAATCGATAAGAACATGTTAAAGATGTCTGTTTTGTCATTGAGTATGTCGATTGTCAATATGATTAAATATTTTTATTCATTTTTAACATCGTTCTGTTCGAAGATCTAATCAATCGATATAGTTGAAAATTTTGCATTTGTCAAAATTGATTTTCATGCTGTAAGAGAAGTTAGCAGCCGATTCGAGTTTCTTTCAAAACGATTCGCACCATTTAGTGAACCAACTCAAGCAGGAATTCTGTGAGCCAGATGCAGCTCGGAGAGCTCTATCAAATGGTGTAATCGAATTTTCAATGAAAGCTATCCGATTCAAATGAAAACAAAAACAAAAACACTAATTTTTCCCCATAGGAAAAAGCACTAACAAAAGATTTTCTCTGACGATTCGCTTCACTTTGTGAGCCATTCATGAGATATAGCTCATTCGATGCATCTTAATGCACTCTATCGAATGGTATATGTTTCATTGAAATGAAAGCAAAACTCTGGGTACAACATGCCTGAAATGCTAGAAATTGGGATCCGGAGCAGTAGAGTCCGTGACGATTTGCTCGACTTTGTGAGCTACTTATGAGACATGGTTCATTCGATGCAGCTTGATGAGCTCTATCGATTACTATATGTGTCGTTACATTGAAAGTAAAGCATCGCAGGTTCGAATTCCATGAGTACCCCAAATCGGGGTTTTGCAGTTTCTTGCCTGACAATTCCCTCCATTAACTGAGCCACTTACGAAACTTAGCTCATTCGATGCAGTTTCAAGAGCTCTATCGATTGGTACATGTTTTGTTTAATTGAAAGCAAAACGTAGCAGGCTAGGATCTCATGGGTACTCCCAAATTGAGGTTTTGGACAGTTTCTTGACTGACGAATCGCTCCATTAGTTGAGCCACTCATGGTACTTAGCTCATTCGATGCAGCTTGATGAGCTCTATCGATTGGGTGACGGTATGGATGTGTGTGCGGATTTGGATCTTCTACTTGCCCAGACCCATACCACACTCATGCCCTCTTGACTTATGTTTAATCTCTGTTAGAATGTTAGTATTGACCCATATAATAAAGCATGTCCTTCGCTAGTCAAAATTTTTGTAAAATACTTTTTGACCATTTTTCGTGTCGATATTCTTCGACATTTTCCCTTTTGGATATTTTTCCCTTCTCTCTTTCGATAGTTTTACATTGCATGATAAACATTTTGACAAAAGAAGAATGACCTGACGGTTGAACCAATCATCAACTATAATGGAAAATGTGTAGCTGAAAGAAAAATGCCATCACCTATTCAACATATACTAACATGACGGTATTAATATTTATTCTTCATTGTTCTCACAGATGGCAATGAGAAAATGATGACATATATAGATTGACACGAACACATAGTTTGAGTTAGACATGGATAATTCAAATAATAATAATTTAAATATACTCGATTTACCTAATGAAATGTTAATCAATATTTTCAAGAAACTATATATGGTTGATATTCTTTATTCACTTGTGAATATTAATGAACGATTTGATCGATTAGTAATTGATCCTCTTTATATTCATCATCTTGATATGACTATCGAGAATTACCCTTTGATGAGATAATTTCAATATACAATAAAGTTTTTTCTAGAATTTGTGAAAATATCTTACCTCGAATTCATAATCAAGTAAATAAATTGACTGTTGATTCATATTCCATAAAATCTATTCTTACTGTTAATCATCCTCAACTTTATTCGTTATCACTTGCTAACTTTCAAGAAGAAATACTTTTTCAATATTTAAAAGGTATATTATTTTTTTGGGTACATTTTTTTTTGCTTTAATCATATCTTCACATTGATTGATGTGGTATACACGCACTGCATGAGAGTGAGGGTGTGATGATTAAAGAAAAAATGTTCTTTTTTTTTTGAAATTAATAATCATTGTTCTTTTTAAATTCAAGGTGATTCAATTCTTCGTAATCTTCTTAGTGAACAAATTACAGATCTTAATATTGATATTCAGTATGATATAATAGCACAATCCACTATAAGTCTTTCAGAAAAGTTTGCCTTAATATTATCATTAAGTAAAAGATTAATCAGTTTAAATTTTTGTCAATTATTTTATTATCGAACCTTGTCTGTTTGGTTTGTTACCCGACCATCAAAAATTTGCATGTCTTCAACTTTAACTAAACTGAAAGTTGAGGTCAAAACTTTTCGTGATTGTCTTTATCTTCTTGATGGTCGTCTCGATTGTTTATCGACATTGATTATCAATGTACGGTATATTTGCGTAATGTCATCACGTAAATATAACACGGTAAGTTATTTTTATCATTTTTTTTTGGAAAACAAAAAAAAAACATTAATTTAATTATTTTCTTTTTTCTTTATAGGAAAAACTTCCGAGATTGAAACATTTTTCATTAACATCGTTCGATGACACAATACATTATGACAAACTAATTATTCCACTACTTTGTCGAATGATAAATCTTGAAGAATTGATATTATTTCTATCAATAATCAGATTTAACTCGACTTTTATTGATGGTATTCAATTATATGATCAATTTCTTATTTATATGCCACGATTAAATAAATTTACATTCAGTATAATTACAGTTGTTGTCAACAATAATATTCATTTGTCATCACATAAAGATATTCAACATAGTTTTATTGGAAAAAGATATGGACAAGTTGGTTCATGCATACATACTGAATCGATGAAGACGAAAGGCACATGTTATATTTACTCACTTCCCTTTCAATTCGAATATTTTCTTTATCTGAACAACTCTTTTCAAGGTGGTATGTTTAATAAAGTTCGATATTTGAAGATGACTGATACGCATCCGTTTGAATATAAATTCTTTAAAGTTATCTCTCAAGATTTTTCTTTTCTCAAATTTATATATATATATATGTAATAATCAATCACAAAAAGATAAGCAAGAGTTGGTTACATTTTCGCATTTCACACTTCTCCATCTGCAAGAGACACATGTAGATTATGCTGAACAATTTCTCTTCAGAAAAAATACTCATCTGCCGTGTTTGTTCAATCTTTACATTGAATATGAATCACTTGCAATGATAACAAACAATTTTATCAATGATATATCATGTCTCAATTTCAGCAAATTAAAACACCTTCATATAAATGAACCATTTGTTCGTTCAGAAAATTTTCATATATACTTTCCTTTCTTATAAATATAATTTTTGTTAAAAATTTTTTTTGAATAAATGAAACTATAGTTGGAGAAAATTAAATATATTTGGATAATGATGATTAATTAAAATAAATCATATACACAAGAACTTTCTGAATTGTACAATCTTGTATCTTACTTCAAATTCCATAGATTTCATTCGATAGCAGTTTCAACATTCCCTTATTTGTACAATGTTTATCATGCTTCCGCTATTTTTAGTGTGAATCGCTTAGTTTTGTTGTACTCATCTATATTTGAGAAAAACTTTATTACTCATTGAGAATAGAAAAATAAACATAAAACTTAGGCTTAATCTTGCAAAAAAATTCTGAAACTAGCCGTGAAAATAGAAGTCCTAGTCTCGCAGATCCTAAGACACTTCTTCAAATCACAGATATTCCTTTCACCTTCTAATAGTACTTTGCCAGCCGACATGTTTGTAGGACGTGTATAGTCTGAAGAAAACCGATTTTGAGTTTTGATATATGTGAAAACAAAAAATTCTAGCTATAATTAAGATCCGGACTGAAAAAAATTTGGACCGGGACCGGGACTGGAAAAAAGTCATTTTGCAGATCCCTACTTCAATATTGAGATAATTCTAAACGATGCTCAATCAATTAAGACATTATAAGCATAAGATGAATATTTCATTTAGATTTTTGCTGTTCTTTTGCATTTGTTGTTATTGATGTAGATGATTTCTCTTTATCTTATGATGATTGTTTATATAAAACTTGAATAATTGATTGTTGTTCTTGTCTTTCTCGTTCGATTTCTACAAGTATTTCAATAAAATATTCTTTTTTTTCTATTTTTATAATGATAAATTTTTCTCTTAATTTCTCATCAAATACATTTCGTATATCATTTAATTCAAGTTGTTTAACTTTATCAAATTCTATTTTTTGTAAATTTATTAATAATGTTTCTAAATTGTTAATTAAATCTTCATGTGGGTGTGGGTGTAAATATGAATCTTCTTTCACAAGATACCCACACCCGATATGGATAAGAAAACATCCAGTTGTGGCTGGATCTCATGTTGATGAAAACGAACAAATTCGTACAGATATATGTTTTAATCTCAAAGATCTTAAAATTAATGATGAATGTGGTATAATGGAAGTTGATGGGGCGAAATCTTCTTTCGAAAGTCATGAAATCATTGATTTAAACTCAAGAAAGATTCTTGATCACTTTCCTTCTGTACATGATATTAATAATAATACTGTGGTCATAAATCAAATTTTAAGTCAAGCTCAAATAATTAATCATTCACTTGAAAGATCATCATATATAACTGTGCATAACAAAGATCAATCTGTTAAACTAAGACAGAAAACAGAATATTCTGTTCAAGAATTTGACTCGGTCTACGCAAGAACCCGCACGACTGAAGATGGCAATTGTTTATATAATTCTCTTTCGATACTTAATATTGGTTTTGAAAGACTAGCATAGTCAATGAGGCTATTAGCAGTCAATGCAATGATTAATAATAGTGATCATTTTAAAAGAATTTGCAAAGCATTGAACTATTCATTTGAAGAACAGATGACAAGAACTGCTACGGATGAAAAATGGAGTGGAGAAGTTCAAATTCAAGCCCTTTCTATAACCTTATGTCAACCTATTTATTCATATGTCAAATTCAACAGTGATTCAAAAAATGGACCCTATGTTCCATCCGATATCAGTCTACAAAAATTGATCGATAGATTCGATAAAGGAATCGCAGACGGTCATCTTAAATATATTGGGTACAAATCAGATATGAACAAATTGAGTGTATGTATTTATGTCACCGGAAATCATTATGATGCTCTCTTACCTTTTCTAAATAATCCTCAACAATTTATATCCAAACATGATATCATTAATATGAATTTATAAAATGAAAGAAGGTTCCATAAAATCATCAAAATAATTAATTCAAATTAACAAGTTTTCATTTATGTTAATAAATAAAGACTTCAGAGCTAACTTCTTGCCGCGTCCCATGGGACAGAAAGAGGGCATCGACAAGGCATAAGGGGCAGTTCCTTACTAGAGGTCAATAAATGAAAATAAATTTATTTAGGATAATTGAATAAGAAAAAGAGAAAAAAGTGTTAACCTGAGTGAAATAATCTCACTTCATTGTGGTAAAAGTGCAGTTGTAAGTAAACAATCAGGAAGTTCTCTTAAATGTTGTTTAAGTGTCCTTGCAGGAACATGTGGATCATAATTAAGTTCATTTAATGTTGTTCCTCTATCAATTGTTTGTAAGTTAAGTTCAGCAACAATTTTTTTTGTTTTCCATGTCATGGTGCAATACGAAAAAGACCTTCTTCATTTAAACTATTTTCTAATAGACGAATACATATTTCAATTGGATAAGCAACTAATGTACCTTTTCTTTTTGAACAATGTTTTATAAGATCATAACCAAATAATGGAATTAAATCATAATTTTCTAATCTTTGTTCAATGTCAGGCATCTTTCATGATAAATATCGAGATATATTATTACAAAATTGATTTTCTTCATATAAATATTGATAAAAAACTTTAATTGTAATTGAATGTTCTTCACTAACTATTTTATATGTTTCAGTTGCATATATATCACGTGATAATGTTCGAGATTGTTCACATTCACAACGAATATCTTCTAATTCATGTAAACGTTCATCAAAATTTGCTAATGTTAAACGATCAGATCATGTTTGAAATCTTAACAAAACAATTAGAACATTTTTTATTTTAAAGAATAAAAACAGAAACTTTTTTTAAATTGGCATCAGCTGTTTCTAATTTTCGTTGAGCTTTTTCATAATTATCTCTTAGTTCAGTCATTGTTTGACGAATAGTTGACTTATATTAAAAATAAATCAATAAATAAATAAATACTTGTTTATCTCTAGCTTGCTCGTATGATCTTTTTAAATTATTTAAGCCATTCTTTTCTTTTTGAATCAATAAAGTCATGTATTTGAATTTAATCATCAACTGTTTGATTTAAAATCGATAAAGTACCATTTGTTCTATATGGAGAACGATAACAACGTGCAACATCAATCAAACGAAATTCTTTCAATGATTTTGATACATCCTTATCAATACTTTTATTTAACTTACAAAATCTTTATTTATTTTCCAAAGATCAGACAATACTTTACAAGAATTTGGAATATAACGAACTCGATTGTATTAATCAGGTACATCATCACTTCTATATTGATAAATATAAAAAAAAAAAAAATATTTTCATTTTTTATTTTCGAATTTCTTTGTTTAACCATATCGATAAATATCCTATTCGAATAAATTTATTTTCAAAACGTTTTTTATAAGGATCGATTAAATTTATTTCCTTAGAAATTTTCAATCGATGATTCGAACTATTTTATCATTATTTCGTCTTATAGAATGTTTCTATCTAGCAGTTAAAACCAGATTTTCGACAAAACAAGTTCAAATCGAATGAAATATTAATCATTTGTTAGCGATCGTTCAGTAGAGAGAAATAAATTGTGCCAAAATTGTTCAGGTCAATATAATGTTTCTAGAATAGATTATTAAAATAATAAATAATCTTCGTTGTCAATCTTTATATATAATAAGATAATCAGTATAGATTCATCTAGAAATCGATTTATATAATAAATAACAAATTTTTGACCAAATACAAGGAGATAGTTAACTATTTAAATTAGCTTTGAAAAAATAACAATAGATTTAACCCTTTCCGGCCGGATGTATCCATTTGGAAACATGGTCCTAGTGTTTTACAATAGGTTGACTAATAGTGATGATATCAAGATTTTTGATGACTTGATGATTAAGTTTAAACATTTTAGCACAAACTCGTGTATTTAGAAGAATGAAAAGCTCATTCATTGTAAAAAATTGCTGGTTCCGCTGGGAACACCCGAGACTAGCTTCGAAATATAAGCAGTCTTTTTCTATGCCTCTGTGAATTCAATATGAAAGGCAATATATGGTTAAAAATCCTTCATAGATCTATTAAACATTGGACCAATAAATGGTGTTATTCAATAATACTGAACGATAAGAACATGGCATGTATCCATTTGGAAACATCCGGCTGTAAGGGTACAAAAATTTACGATTTATTTTTCTTTCGCATTTGTCCAAGAAATGAACTTTGTTACATTCTTGTCAGAACGGATCTATTATTACGAAAACAAATACCTGTCTACCTAATAATCTTTTTTATCCTGGCGCTGATATAACATAATTACACGTATTTTTTCCATCTATGTCGTCTTACATTCTGTCATGATGTGCAAGTGTATATGCCAATATGTTCTCTTCTTAGTATGCTCAATCATATTCACATCTTTTTCCATTCGCATGCACAATTGTACTTTTCTTTCTCTCTGACTATTGATAAATTTTTCAATCTGACTGAAATATTTTCTCTCTTGCGCTACAACGTTTATTGATAGCAATGACAAAACGAAAGAAAAGAACAATATTGTAGTACATTGTCCATCTCATCACTTATCGTTTTGTACCGACAAGTGCATTTTGCACAAGTAATAAGAATCATCTATAATCTTACTTCATTTTGAATCATCGTTTTTATTGATAATGCCAAATACACGAAGTTCCAATCGTTATACTGTCATTCCTAATGGATTAAGTGAAGAAGAAATGGACACATCCGAGTCAGAAGATGAAATTGGTGCTGTTCAACATGTTTTACAGGATAAATTAACAATCAACGAAGACAATTCATCTAGTGAAGGAAGTGATGTTGAAGAAATGGTAACCGATCCACCATCAAAAAAAAAAAGCAATTACATTGGAAAAAAAAAGATTTTGAAGCTCCAGCAGCAGATTTTACTGGAATTTTGCCACCACCACCAATACATGAAGAGTTTGAACCTATTGATTACTTTTATTTTATGTTCGGCAAGGAATCTATTACACTTATGATAAATCAATCAAATTTATATTCTACCCAGATGAATCCAAATAAACCACTTTGTGTTTCTGAAAATGAAATGAATCGCTTTATAGGTATATTATTAATGACTGGTGTCTATTCATTTCCACAACAGCGTTATTTTTGGATGAATGCTACTCGTGTTGAATCTATAACCTCGGCTATGAGTCGAGATCGATTTTTACAAATCAAAAGAAATATTCATGTTGTTGATAATACAAATCAATTAGATAGCAATGATCCAAATTTTGATCGTGCACACAAGGTTCGACCATTATTAAAAATTGTTAAAGAAAATTTCCGAAAAATTCCAAAAGAAGAAAACTTAAGTGCAGATGAACAAATTATACCTTTCAAAGGACGAAGCATCATGAAGCAATACATGCCAAAAAAACCGCACCGTTGGGGTTATAAAATGTTTATATTAGCTGGTAGTAATAGTGGTTTATGTTACGATTTTATCTTTTATACAGGTAAAGAAGGTAAGTCTGTACATGGATTTTGTGCACAAGTTGTTCTTGATCTTTGTGAAACAGTACCAAGATCGATAAATCATAAGCTTTTTTGTGATAATTTTTACACTACAATCAGATTACAAGTGGAGTTGCACAAGCTTGGTATTAATGCTGTTGGTACGGTACGATCAAATAGATTATCTGGTTTGATTATGAAAAACGAAAAGGATTTATCACGCGAGGGACGTGGTGCTATGGATCATCGTGTTGCCGAAGTTGATGGTGTTCAAATTTGTGCAGTGAGATGGTACGACAATAATGTCGTTAACTGCCTATCAACATTACATGCTTGTCATCCAGTTGATTTTGTTCAAAGATGGTCAAACAAAGAAAAAAAACATATACAAGTAAAAAGACCACATATTATAAAAGCTTATAATCAACATATGGGTGGAGTGGACTTGCTTGATATGTTGATATCGCTCTATCGTATTAATGTTGGCTCAAAAAAATACTATATTAAAATTATTTTTCATCTCATGGATTTATCTTTAGTGAATGCTTGGCTCCTTTATCGTCGTCATTGTTCACAACAGAAAATTCCAAAAAAGAACATTATGTCTTTACTAACATTTCGTGTCAATGTAGCTGAAGCCTTGCTTCAATCTAATCTATCGTCATCGCCAACACTCAAACGTGGTCGTCCATCATTACAATCAACAACAAGTGATCAAACATCACCAAAATCATCTAGAGCTACACCAAATCCACTACCATCAAAAACTATTCGAATGGATAAATTTGACCATTGGCCGATTTACATAGAGAAAGGCCGCTGTCGAAATCCTGGTTGTACCGGTCAGACACGAATATCATGTTCAAAATGTAAATTACGTCTTTGTTTGAATGATAAAAATAATTGTTTCGTTGAGTATCATAATTAAATAATATGTTTTCCCTCAAAATAGTTCTTTCTGGTTGTTGTTATTGATTTTCTTATGTGTTTGTCTTTTTGCTCGTTTTCTATTTATGTCTCTTATTCTTGTACAAATTGCACAAATAAATGAAAAAGCACAAAATATTACATTTTTATAGAGGAAAATAAAAGGACAAAAATTTATAAAACTTTGACCCCTTATGGCCGGATGTATCCATTTGGATACATCGGGTTTTTCGATACCTAAAGACTTTTTAATTACAAGAAATGAACTTTTTCTATCTACATAGTCTAGGGACAGTAAAAATACTCGAAAAAATTTTTTTGCTATATGTCTTCTAGTAGCCGGCCGGAAAGGGTTAATATGAAAGTTTGGTTTTTTTAATTCTACGAATATGAAAACTATTCTTTAAATCTATTTAAATAATATAAAACGTTTGGTTAAATTTGAAAAATTCTTTTTAACAATTTGAATACTCTTCAAAACAAATGATATTTTATTTCTAAATAAAGATTTTTTTTAATGAAAAACAATAATATATAATTATTATCTTAACTCGACAATAATAACATCAAATAATTTCATTTTAAAACTATAGAAAAATTTTTAACAAAAAAAAGCACTAGCAAAGGGTTAACTCAATTAAATTAAAATAAATAAATTGAATAAAATCTTGTTTCTATCAATATTAGTCTAACTATTGAAATGATTTATTATATTAATATAAGATTTCATTTATTTATTTAACAGTTTGATTTATTTCAATAAATATCTTCCATTCGTATAATATATGTTAAATCGATCGAGTTATTTCGATTTCTATTGAAAATAATTCTTTGAATATATTATATCTTTCGAATATAATTTATCAGTTTTTATTTCCCCTCATTTCAATATTAAAAAACTATTTTATTAAATCGAAATAAACCAAACATAAATAAAGATAATAAATGAGATTTATTTTTATTTTCAAATAGAATATATCAATTCTATATATTATTTTATTTTTGAATCTCTAATATAAATAAATCTATTAATATTATGATATAACTATATTCAATAGAATTACAATTATAATAACAAAAACAAGAGAAACATCTTATTATATAAATCGATTATTTAAAATGTTAATTAAAATAAATATATATATATATATATTGAAAAAAAATTTATATATAATAAGTTGTTGTCTTTTTATTTAAATTAAAAAATGAAAATCTCATCCAAGGATACGCTGCAAGACTTGATCGTCTTGATCGTTGTTCGGAATTTAATCGATTGTCATCAGATAAATAATTCTCATTTACTAATCTCGCAATAAAAGAATTCATTCTATTAAATGATGTCATACGCACTCTTTTTTTTTCAATATAATAATTATATAACGAAACGACGAAAAAGAACAGAGAACCCTTCGATAATCAATTCTTTATCAAATATTCGAATATAATATAAACAAATCATTTTCTAATAGAGATATTTTATTTCTAACAGTTAACTATTTATAAAGATAACCTTTTACTTTTTTAAACAATTAACCATTTACATTGAAATAAAATCTTCTATTTTACATCGAATTCTTTTAGTTTCATTGAGAAATTTTTTTTCGATTAAAATATTCTAATAAGATATAATATATGTAAAATCTCGTTTCGATCTTCAAAGATGAGACAACTATCAATCTCGACATTTTTCGATTAGGATTCAATATTATTCTATAGTCACAATTTTATCTCGAAAATAAAATAAAATCAGTTTACCCGATTTTCAATAAGTATGGATTCCTTATTCAATATTAAAATTTATATCTATTTGTTTGTTTTATTTCGCTTTAGACAATTGAACAATTTTCTGTTGAAACAAATCGAACAACATTTAGTATTACTTGATAAAATAATCGAAATTGAACTATGATAAGCACAAAATCGTTTTCAATCACGACGACAAACACTAAAGTTATCATGAATTCTTCGTTTTGTTTTTTATTGCTGTTTGATTAATTCTATGATAATATTAACAAAATACAACGCATTCTTCCCTTTTCTTTGAAAGAGATCGAGATAGAGAAAATTGATATTAATGTGTATAAAGATAAAAAAAGTGAATTTAATTTAGGTTTTTTTTTCTCTTAATCATGAAGTTGGTAAAGTCAATGCAACACCAAGTTTTATTTAACGTTATTTTAATTGATTTGTTGATAAATAAATAGGCATAACAAAATTTGTTGAATGACTCGTTGTTGAAAGTATGTCACGTCGTTCACTTGTTTTATATACTGAACATTCATATGTCCCATCGGTATTTAATTCATTTGTTCTTATGTGTCATATATATATATATATATTTTTTGTCTTTCTCTCGTCCATAAATCATTGTTCATGTTGTTGTTATCATTGACGATCAATGATCAACATGCACAATGAAATATGTATATCAATTAACCTTTTTGAAATGAACTCTTAATTCATTTTCGACGAGAGAAAAAAAAATGATTTTTCAGCGTATATATACGAATGATTTTCTATGTAAAATCATTCAAATTTTTGAATCAAATAATAATCATTTTTCTTTTTCTATTTTAGATTGACCTCGATGATACAAAATTAATCAAATCAAGATGAAGCCATACAATAAAAAAAAATGTAGGTATCAGTTTTAATTTTTTTTCTTTTTTTTATTTAACGATTATAAGGATGGTGAAGTAAGACCTCCTATAATCTTTTTAATTTTTTTTTTCTTTTGTCTTAGGTTCGATGAATATTTTCAACTATGACAAGGTAACAGTGGGGTAAGTTAACTCATTCTTTTTTTTTGTCATTATATAACATTAAACTAATTTTTCTTTTTAGATAGTCATCGTCTTGCATTCAATATCAATTAATAGAATTGTAAGTATAGATTTCTTTATAGTTAGTGAGATAGATAAGGTATGAGTGAGAGTGAGGATAGGGCTACTCTAAGATAAGTGAGATAGAGTTACGGGTGTTAGTTAGATCGTCTTCCCAGGTTAGACGTTAAACACTGGCCAGGAACTATCTTGGTGTCCGTGGCACACGACCAGGCTTATTCAGACTCATTGACATATCTCTCACGGGGAGGGTATGAATGATATGAGTCTGTCCTGTGCGTGCATGAGCGTTACGGTCGCCACGGCTCCACCAAGATGGTTCCTGGTCGCGCGCGCGAATAGAATAAGCCATTCATTTCATCAATTCAATGTGATTTATTTGAAAGGAAAGCAACGCAAAAAAAAATCTATCACAACGAGTCTATTCGATTGAAAAGCGTTGAACACGATGATTCCCATAATCGACGACATAGAGATTGCCATGTAGATCGAAGGACAAACCGGTGGGAGAGTTGAGCTGATTAGCTCCTGGGCCATTTCCACCCACAATAACAGTGCCCTGTTTCGCTCCTTTAGGCCAACGCATCACTCGACTATTTCCCCAGTCTGCCACATAGATGGTACCCAATGTATCAGCGAACAGTCCATGAGGATTCGACAGTTGTGTCAGAGCATTTCCTTGGCCTTGACCTCCAGCGACGACAATTCCTTCTTTTTCACCTTTATTCCATTTCATTACACGATGATTGAGGTTGTCAGAGACGTAGACAGTCTGTTGTTGATCGACAAAGATGTGGGTCGGAGAGGTGAGTTGATTGAGACCAGCAGCATAACCATTGGCACCAGCTACAATAGTTCCATTCTTGTCTCCTATTTGATATCGTCTTACTTCATCTTTGTCGGTGTCAGAGATGTAGAGATATCTCTGATCATCCATTGCCAATCCTCGACAACCGATGTTGTCGATGAGGATTTCTCCTTGAGTTGTACCACTACGACGAGACCATCGTACGACTCGTCGATTCAACCAATCACAAATAATGAGACTATCCGTCTCTTTGCCGATCAATACATCGGTTGGTCGATTCAATTGATCCAATCGATTTCCTGGGTCCTTGCCACCAGCTACAACTTGTCCATTCGTATCACCCATCTTCCATTGGACGATACGATGATTGCCCCAGTCGGCGATGACAATCGTTTGATCATCATCAACGAAGAGACCATGAGGCCAGGAGAGTTGATTGGTAGCACTGCCTTCTCCATGTCCTCCAGCAACAGTCGTCGCATTCTGTGCCCATCGGGCATTGATTGGAATATTAGGAATTACTACAATGAACAAAAAAGAAAAGAAATCGTCGTTATGGAAGGGATCTCGTCTCTCGTGAGAGCAAGCGCTACAAATATGACATTCGTCTTTGAAAATGCTCATTCCACAGATAAAAATTCAGAAGTCTTTTCCTAGTTTCTTATGAGAAAAAAAAGATTTGGTAACGATTCTTACATCTATGTTACTTCTAGTTTTTGCCAAGATCTTTTTGATCATAAAAATAACACCTGGAGATTGCTGTAAGGAGGTTCTCCAAGAAAGAGTAATACTAATTCCATGTAAGTTTTTGATAGAAAACCATAAGGATCTGAAGATTTCATTCAGAATTGCAAGGATTCAGAATCTTTTTGGGCAGAATGATCATTTATATGAACATCAGAGAAGATTCTATCTGTATCTTGTGAGAAGAATATCGAATCGTTGAACAACATAATATCAAACCTAATCCCTATGTTTTCTAGGAAACCTTAAGGATACATGATTTTCTGTATGATGAATGTGCATCTGCCAAAGAATCTCCTAAGTATTTGCATAGAGAATGCCGATGAAATTTTATAAGGCTTTTGATAAGTTATGTCAAGCTGTTCGAAGAACAACCGTGATGTACTCTGAGTAGGATCATGAGAAGACTTGGATACAGGCGAAACTGAACAAAGTTGAGAGGATTCCATGCGAATCTATGTAATCTGAGAGGGCTTCTACTTTTGCAAATGTTGAAAAGATGGATGTCAATCCGAAATGAGCTCTCCAGTAACAAACATTGGGATCTATGGATTTTATGGGCTTTGAAAAGAAAGTGTTCTAAAAATGCTATTTTTAACTTTTGATGAACACCATCTTCAAACCATTGTATAAGGGTCCTCAAAGAGAATCTTGGTGACTAAACAAGATACTCTGGTAAAATCTGAAAATCTAAAAATAATGATTATCTTCTATGAGGATCATGTTATAATCCTTATGTAGTACTTGTTCTGAGAAGTCTTCTGTAAGCTTGCATGTTATGGATATGTTCAGGAGGATCTGAAGAGTAAGTATTTTGGAATGGTTGATATCAGAGATGGGCAATTACAACTCCAAAGTTGACACTATTTCTCATCAGAATGAGAGTGAACGTGCCTATCTCTGGATTTTATGAGAAAGTTTATAAAACAATAGATTAATATGCTACTAATTGATATCAATCGTAGATTTAATTATGTTAAAAAACTTATGTGTATTTAAGAGTGTTTTGGTAGAAGTTCAGTTTTCTAAAATTCGACTGGAATTAAAGTTAAATCGGAGTTGGAGTAGGATTTTAGAAAAAAAGGAGTGGAGTGGTATGAGGTTGGAGCAAAACACACTGTAGTTGAAATTGATGTGGAGTTTTAGAAAATAGGACTAGAGTTATGTGGAGTTGGAGCAGGATATAGTGTAGTTGTCCATCTCTACTTAGTACACAAATATCAATCCTAATCAGTACCCATCGCTCCTTTTCTGAAACATTGGGAATTACTACAATGAATGAAAAAAAAAAAAGGATCATCATTGTCGAAGAGATTTCGAGAATGTTCTTTTCGCAGATAAAAATTCAGAAGGCTTTTACTAATTCCGTATAAAAAAAAAAGGATTTCGTAACGATTTTCACGTCGATATCACTTCTAGTTCTTGTCCAGACCGTTTATATGGTAAAAAGTAGAGTCTTGCAGTGAGTGAAAACTGTGCATGGAAATTGTTGTAAGGAAGTTTTCCGAGCAAGAGCAATGGACATGGCCATGCATCGGTCTTCCATGCATGGGAAGAGGTTCGAATTAAAAAATCAAGAAAACTAAATATGTCAGTTGAAAGGGTACTAACGATAGTATATACGGCAGATGTCACTACCTACCCCTGTATGCAGTTATGAAGTGATGGTAATATCATTTTTTCTTCTAGTGAGCTTCTTACAAAAAAAATGATTGAATCATCACAAATAAAAACATCTGATTTTTGATGAAATTCCGTAACAAAAACTACTTATAGTGTATTTTATTCGCTTATATGGCAAATTAATTTTAAAGAAACTCCATAATCAGATAGATCTTTCCAAAAGCTATCGAATGCACCGGGTTTTTTTATTAACCTTTGGTTGTATTTTTGTGCATTTTTTAAAAAAAATACTTCGTTACGAAATTTCATTAGAAGAAAAAATATACATGTGAGAGAATTGTAACTTTTTTGTACAATTATATATTTTTTCCTTTTGTTTCTTGATATCTGCCAGATTATCACAGAAAATTTCGGTCCGGTACAGTGTTGCCAGATGGATGGGTTCAAAATCCGGAAAACAATTCAGAAAGGCTTTCGAAGATTAATTTCAGCTAGTAAAAGGATATTTTTCTTTACCAAATTATTAATAACGTTGTTTTTGATCTTCACACAATATATTTCAATGAGTAAAAGCGAAAAAATATCAAAAGATAACTAAACGATTAGCAACTCAT